ACACCCAGAGCAGTGATATTTAAATAACTTGGAGCACAAAGGCTCAAGAACTCTTTGTGTTGCAGTGCAGTGACTGCACAGAGCTGCTCAGGAGGGGGCAGTGCTTTAGAGAAGGTTCCTGACCTTCCTAGAGAAGGTTCCTAACCTTGCTTGCCAGGGCACAAGTCAAACACATCCTCCAGTCATGTGGCAGAGCTTTTTTTTATTATTTTATTTTTTTATTTCCCTAATAGGCCTATTTTGGGAAAATGGGCTAAAGAGTCCTAGATTAGCTTTAGTATTTTGGACACCAGTCCTACTTTTGTGCGTGCACCCAGATGAATTTATCGTGAAGTTCGGATGCAAGTGCGGTACCTGGAGCTTTAAAAGCACTGGGTAAATAACAGCCTGTCTGAACAGCTCCCAGGAATAAAGGACTTGGAGCTGGCAAAGGAAAGGCTGCTGTCTGCAATCTGGAGCCAGACACATTCAAAGTAGAAATCAAGTACAAATTTGTAATGGGGAGGGTGATTAATCACCGGGATGAACTAGAGTTGGATGGATGGGTCTTTGGGCTCTTGCTGGGTTTGAGGCAAGATGTCCTCTGGACAGAAGTTAAGCCAGGTGACTGTTCTACTTCAGTGTAAGAGAAGCCCATGGAATCAGAATCATTTAGGTTGGAACAGAGCTCCAAGATCATCCAGCTGGAATGAGCCCAACCTGTGACTGATCCCCACCAGAGCGCTGAGTGTCACGGCCAGTCCTTCCTTGGACACCTCCAGGGATTGGGGACTCCACCCCCTCCCTGGGCAGCCCCTTCCAGTGCCTGACCACCCTTTCCAGGAAGAAATCCCTCCTGATGTCCCACCTGAACCTCCCCTGGCACGTGTTTATGGACAACACACGTGAACATTCCTGCACAGGGTCCACCCAGGAGAGCTGGCAGTTCCCACAGACCTGGAGCTGCACGTGCAGTAGAAGGCTCGAGTTTTGAATTATTTTTTTTTTGCTGTTTCTAGGAGAGGGTTGGTTTGCAATTCTGCACGAATTACAAATCTGGCCTTTGCTTCGAGTTCAGCAGTGGCAGAACTTCATTCTTTGGGCTTAATTTCTTCACCACCCAACGCCTCAGGTTTGTCAGCAAGGCTGGAACTCGAGGCTTCTGCGTTTCTGGTGTGACAGTTGTGGTGGTGGGGCCCATGTCCTCAGGCAGAGTCCACGCTCAGCCACTGATCCTGCCCCGTGTGGCTTTAAGCCAAGAATTCAGCCCCTCTCTTCATGTTTTACTTATGTCAAAATGATGCTGCTTGTCTTCCCCAAGGACAAAAGCGTTTAATTTCTTATTTGTAAAGCCCTTCTTATTTTTTTTTTTTTAAGAACTTACCGAGGAAGGTATTAGTGAAATACAAAGCGATGGCTTTTTTTTTCTTTTTTTTTTTTTTTTTTTTTACTAGGTGAGTCACTCAGAAATTAAAAGAGAAAATGAATTTCTCTTCCAAATAAGTGATATCAGCCTCATCTTTACCAAGTGACTTTCTCCTTGCTGCTGCAGGGCATTGTGGATCAGGGTGAACTCCACTTCCAAACATTTAATTGCACACAGTGAGAAATGAAGAAAACTGAAGTGGATCCCAAGAACGTATTAAAAAATTCGGAACTAAAACGAGAATGATTTCATGTCAAGTGAGACAAATGCAGAGTTGATACTCCAGCGCTTCACACTTCCACTTGTCCTTGGCACTGAGAAAATGAGATTTTTAATATCTGAAAAACAGATTGCCGTGAGGACTCATCCATTGTAAATTTAAGCTGCCTTTATAGCAAACTTAAGCTGGGGACAAGATTGTTCATTACATCAGATTCTACAACTGCAGCCACGATTTCCATATTAATAGTGACTTTTTTTTTTTTAATTTTTTTTTTTTTAATTGTCTGTACCAGCCCTAAGGAAAGGGGAACTGGTTGTGTTTTCCCTGTCTTAGCAGGTCACTTATTTAATGAATAATGCGAAGAGGGCAAAGGTCTGTGAGCTCTTACCTGCCTGTCACTGCAGACAGTGGTGCCACCTGCCTTTGCTGCTGTCTCAGACCGGCTTTGGTGCTTTGGTTTGTGCTGAGAGGGAAGGAGGGACGTTGAGTCGTGATTTCGGTCATGATTTGTTGGTGACTGATGTTGGTCGGGATTGGATTGTTTTGACTAAATTTACGGGTGAGGGGTGGGTTGGTTCCTGTCTGGGGTGCCCTGAAATGAGGAAAACATTTCAGCTTCAAACTACAGGCCTGTCTGGGGGTGGGGAAGGTGTTTTTGTGCCCCTGAACTTTGGACTGACGTGGAGGCAAAGGCTGTTTGTGCCCCTTTCCAACAGCAGCCGCTCTGTGCTGGCAGCAGCCTTAGGAAGTTCCAGCTTCCTCCCCTTTCTCTGGAGCTCCATTTGCTTTCAGACCTCAGGATGATTCCCTGTCCTTCCCTGGTGCTTGGCTCGGTCTGGGGCAGTTTGGGATTGCACTCTGAGTGTAATAAAAACCAGCTCAATCCTCTAACACAGCAAAAATGGAGATCTTTTTCTCTGCTGAAATCCCACCTGTCTGCACTCCCAGATCTGGAGTCTCCTGGAAAAGCTTCTCTTCCTCTGCTGTTCCCATCCCAGATTTGGTCTAGATCCTAATGGCTCTTCACCACATTTGAGGTCCATGCCATTTTTTCTCCTCTTCCATTCCCATCACTGATATCACCCTCCTGCCTTTGTCATCCCAAAACCTGAGTTACTGCAGCCCTTTCTTTGCCTCTCTTATCTCATCTCCTCGTGTTCCAGTTTTAATCCTGCGTTTTCACGATGATGGAAAGTGATCTTTCCTTGCTGGGTTCCCTTCTTTGCTTCTTCCACGCTCCTCACCCTGGAAGCAAATCCTTCTCTGAGGGATCCAGTTCTCTATCATTAGCCTCTCTGACCTTCAGAAAGTTTGTATATATTTAAGTCTAATTTGTTCCCCTTTGGAAAACAAACCGGCTCTCTGTATTAAAATTTGGCAAGAAGTCAACAGCATGATCTCATTTTTTTTTTTGTGACTGCCTCGGGGAACATGTTTAAAATGCAGTTAAGAGATTTAACAGGGGAGGGGTTTGGTGTGGAAGTCTCTCTAAAAGGTTTGGGGTGGGTGACTGGGGGGGACCTGGGGGGTTGTCCCTCCCATCCATCAGTGGTTTGGCGCCACCGTTTCGCTCCCAGGCCGCAGGACGTGACCTGTCATCGTGTCTGTGACCTTGCTCTGGGTGACCTCCTGTCCTGGAGAGGAAGAGGCAGCTCCATGTGGGCCACATGGGTTGTTTTGGAAGTGGCAGCAGCCAGCTCTGAGCAGCTCCCCTCCCTGGGAACACCCAGCTTTCCTTGGCCACGGCCGGGTGGGAGAAGGCAAATGGTGTGGACAGGCTGGAACCTCCCAGGAAAGCTGGTGGCCAAAGCTGATTGCTGCTGCCTCTGGGAGTGCTCAGCCAGCCCAGCCTTTTGTCCTGACAGTTCAGGAGTTCCTTCACGAGGGAAAAAAAAACAAAACACAGGAATGGTGGCAGCACCATCCTTGGAGGGCTTGAAAAGCCGAGTGGATGTGGCACTTGGGGACATGGGTTAGTGGTGGCCTTGGCAGTGCTGGGGGGATGGTTGGACTCAATCTCAAGGGAGGGGATTCTCCCCCTCTGCTCTGCTTTTTTGAGACCCCACCCTGCAGAGCTGCCTCCAGCTCTGGGGAACAGCACAGGAAAGATGTGGAGCTGCTGGAACAGGTCCAGAGGAGGTCACAGAGGTGCTCCCAGGGCTGGAGCCCCTCTGCTCTGGAGCCAGGCTGGGAGAGCTGGGGGGGTTCACCTGGAGAAGAGAAGGCTCCAGGGAGAGCTTGGAACCCCTTTCAGAGCCTGAAGAGGCTCCAGGAGAGCTGGAGAGGGACTGGGGACAAGGACTGGAGGGACAGGACACAGGGAATGGCTTCCCACTGCCAGAGGGCAGGGAGAGCTGGGAGATTGGGAAGGAATTGTTGGCTGTGAAGGTGGTGAGGCCCTGGCACAGGTTACTCAGAGAAGCTGTGGCTGCCCCTGGATCCCTGGAAGTGTCCAAGGCCAGGTTGGATGGGGCTTGGAGCAACCTGGGACAGTGGAAGGTGTCCCTGCCCATGGCAGGGGGTTGGAACAAAATGGTCTTTAAGGTCCCTTCCAACCCAAACCATTCTTTGATTCCATGATCTTAGGGGGCTTTTCCAGCCTAAACAGTTCTGTGATTCTGTGGTCTGTGTAGGCCCAGGGGATTCCATCTGGGATAGGTGCAGTTCTTCCCAAAGCCTCCTGAAGGTGTGAGAGAGGAAGAGTCATTCTGTAGTACCTGGACCACCTTTAACCACTTGGAAGAGGCAAGATGTGTCCATCCATGATTGCTACCCCTGCATAGCAATCCATGATTGTCAACATTAGTCATCTCTTTATGGAACAGAGGAAATCATCCCAAAATCCATGTGCTGCTCTATCCACTTGCTTTCTCACCCGTAGCCTGAAGTGTAAACATTGTCCCTGGATGGAAGCATCCTGCCTTTCTCTTTCCCTTTGGTTAATAGTTTGACTTTTGGAGCACTTTCAGTCCATGTTAGTTTGGGGAGAAAAACATGAGCAGTAATAGCTAAAGAAAACTCTATTAGGTCATTCCTCCTCAGAACACAGTACCTGTCTCTGAGCTCTCTTGAGGATGTTGGCCAAATAATCCTTTTAATAGCTTTTGTGAGTTAAAAGGGTAGGTAACTGTCATAAGGCTAAATGATTGCATAGATTAATTTACTTGTGGCCAAGAGAAATCAATTGTAATTTAAATTTTTGTCTCTGGACTGATGACACCACCAGACTTTCTCCTGAGGAATGTGCCACGTGCTTTGAGGTCCGTGAGCCTCTGTGGGTCTGGATTAGTGACAGCTTATCCAGAACAATGGGACTGAATCTCTTTGCCTTGCACAGACATCTCTAATGTGTCTTTTCCTTGTGTCTTACAGAATGGTGAATAACACTGAAGACCCTCAAGAGGCTTTATAACGTCCCATCCCCATGTAAAGTATGCTCAGAACTTTTCCAGTAGTGTAAGTACAAGCTGAAGAAGCCCAGAACAATTAAGATCATTTGATGGTGTTTTTTCCTGTTAATTCGTGTAAAAAAGAGCAGAGAAATGGTTGCTATGATTATGAGCAGTTGGCTGGAGAGTTCCACTCCTTTGGTGGAACATTTAAACCAGGGAATAGTAAAATAACCAGACATTTAAATCAGGGAATAGTAACTTATAATTCCTCACTGCTGATGTATTGTTGCTCTTTCTATTTTTCTGTCTCTGAAAGAGCAAGAAAACCATGCAGTTCTTTGAAACTTGGCCTTGATCAGAGAAAAATTCATACATCTACTGAGCATATTGGAGAGATACTTAAGGGATACCTGAGCTGGGCAGGAGTTTAGCACCGCTCCAGACTTGGCTGAGAACACCATCAGTTCAGATTTACATGGCAAAGGCAGAAAACCTGGGGCACCTCACCTTGGGATTGGATGGGCTGTTCCAAGCAGTATCTTGGGCCCCAGGTGGAACTGAAGTTGTGTAAATCCGTCAGTTGTTTGGATTTTTTTAAATGGCTTCTGTCATAAATCTTCAGTGTAATTGGTCTCCATGCCTTTTCTTCAGTAAATAAGCAAATGAATTCAAATGTTGAAGCTGGAAGGCTGAAGGGAAAGGCTTGGCCTGCTCTGTGCTCTCCCTCAGCTCCCACTGGCCAGTCCCATTCTGCTGCTCCCAATAATCCCTGTTGCTGGCTTGTCCCCAACAATCAGATTCCTGAGATACTTTGACCTCTTGACTTTGGATTGTGCTTTCTGTCAGTCTGAGCAGGGAATAATGGAAAGGAATTGGGCTGCTGTGAATGCAGCCACGTTTTTCCAGCTGGATTATTTCAAGGATGAAGATTTATCCTTGTGGCAGTGCAGTCACAGGCTTCTGTAGAGGGAGCCACAGCAAAAATAAAGCTGCCAGGGATTTTATTTGTTGGAAACCAAACTCCAATGGATTTTAAAAAGCCTTCTTGATACAGCCCTTAATTAGTTATTTTCTGTTGCTGGTGGCTTTAGCCTTCTATTCAAAACCAGTGGTTTCCTGCTTCATTGCCACTCCCCTGAGCCACCTCCTCTTCTTTCCTCTGGCTGGAAATATGTTGGATTTCAGTATTAAAATCACCACTTGGAGTTGTAAAGATCCAGTTCACGGCAGGAGAGGAGTCAGGAGGTAGGGCCACATTGCCCTGTGCATCTTCATTATCCTGGTAATCCAGAGTTGGCAGAGGGATCTCAGATCACTTCGTGTGAGCACAAGGACAGTGTGACAGCTTTTGGCTTTGTGTCAGGCTTTCACCATGGATTTCCAAAGTGGGAATTGCATGGTGTGAGTTTACTGTGCAGTTTTCTGCCCTGTTCATCAGCTGCCACCTCCCAGCAGAGCAGCAGCAGCAGCAGCTTTGATTTATTCCAGTGGATGTGCAGTTAATAGGAGGCAATGGAAACAGAGGTGAACAATTTTTGAGGGAGGGGAAACCAAGATGAACCTATTTGGAAGGGTTTAGAGAGTATTAAATTAGAGCAAATGGGCCAAGATGACCTATTTAGGTATAAAACTTCCAGATTAGACCATAGATATCTTTAAAAAAAAAAAAAAGGGTAAGTGGGATCAAGAAGGGGAAAGAAGAAAATGGAGTCTTAAAAAAAATTTAAAAGTTCGAACCTAAATACTGAATAAGGTAAAAAGATTGAACAGTTAAAACTGCTGGTAAGGGAGGAGTTGGGTTATTCCCACTCACAGAACAGCCAAGTAGGAACGTGGCTGCAGTTACCATTTCTCCTGCCTAATTTTTGTCCACAGCTGGATGGGAGTCAGTACTTGAGAGGAGTTTGGGGAATGGTGTGACCACAGAACTCTTGATTTTGGTCTCACAAGAATCAGCCATTTATCTGAAACTAAGCCCTGTAGCCAACACATGGTTTCTCTCTCTTGGGCTCTCCATAAATATAACGGGAGGAATTACTTGTGCTTCATGGGCTCATGGCAGTATTGATTAATTAACATGTGTTAGGAGTGGGCTGTGACCATCAGCATGTTTTGCATCCCTCAGAATATGAGTTTTGGGGGAACCAGACAGTTGCAGCGTCGTCACCTGAAGTTTACCTGAATTACCAGGCTGGTGCTTGTGAATCTAATTGCCAGCAATGACAGGGCTGTCTGGGGAGTGAGTAAAAAGCCTTCTGAGTGGGAAGAGAATGAGTAATGCAGATGGAAAAGGACTGGATTGAAGCCTTGTCATCATTTAGGGAAAACAACAGAAGGGAAAAAAAAACCTGAGGATGTGGATGTTCCCAAGTGAGCACACGTTGAAGAGCAGGCCCTGGAGTTACAGTGGCTTGGAGAAAAAAACCACCACAGGTTGAGCTGTAACTGTCCCAGTGCCCTTGAAATGTGGCACAAACCACGTTAATTAAACTTGGGTGAAAGAAGACTGAGCTCATTTTCTCTTTTTTGTCTTGCTTGACGAGGTATCAGGTAAATAGTTGATGGTTGTAGGAATATCCAGTTGGCTTTTTAGGGCTTCCTTAACTGAAAGAGTGTCCTGCCTGAGCCTGTGGTTTTACTTTAGGATAAACCAGATGAGTTAATTTGGGATTTCACAGCCACTCTGAAAGGGTCCTAAGGAAAAAAAAAAAACAACAAACAACTATTGAATGGAAAAATTTCTTCCCCAATATTTTTTCCAGTGATGGATTCCCAGTCCTTCCCAGAGATTTAAAAGCCCTGTGGATGTGGCACTTGGGGACATGGGCCTTGGCAGTGTAGGATGCAGATGGGTCTTCTCCATATCATGCAAGAGGAAATTTCCCTAGTTCAGGTCTGGACTGCACAAAAAAATTGCTGCTTTGAGAGCATTAATTAGGACATTTGTTTCTTTTTGAAATGCTTTTAACTAAAATAAAACTCTTAACATGGAGGCAGCTGTGGCCAAAAGCCCATGTTTTTGCCATTGTGATTTATATTCCTCAAGGAGACACCGTTATCTGTTCCTGAGTTGTTCTCCAAGTGGAGTCTCTGTCTTCATTAAGGCTGTGCCAGTGAAACTGCACTTGCAGACTGGTTTTTCTAGTGGAAAATTATTTGCTTTGTAGTTAAGCACAAAATCAGGAGTAGGTGAGGTTCAGCTGTTTGCTGGGGTTCGATTTTAGTTTTCTGAGGCAACAAATCTCTCTTTTTTGGTTGTTCCTGCTGGGGTTGGATCCTGAGGGAGAACGAAGGGGCCTGAAATACTTCAGGATGACTCTTTTCCTTCCCGTGTGGAAGAGGTGGTGGAAATCCTGGTGATGGCTTTGCTTGGAACTTGTCCTACACCTCCTCATGTCTGGTGCTGTGGATGGACCCTGTGGGATGCCTTTGAAAAAAACACTCAGAGTTTGGGCAAGGACTGACTCTGCCTTCCTGCAGAATTCCTGTGTGACTTTGAACAAGTCATTTGGACTTGTCTGACGTCCAACCCCTCTCTGGGAACTCTTGGTCCCAAAAATTAGAGTAGTTTTACTTCTCTGCCTCACAGGGATCTTCTGCAGGAAGATGTGTTACAAGTACTTAGATGCTCCAGCTGGCAGAGTTAATGGAGGAGAGTTTGGAGATGCTGTCTGGATTTTAATAAAGGACTGGTCAAGTTTTGAAGTGAAATGGGGAAGCAGAACACAGCACTGTACCTGTGGTCTTGGCAGCTGAAAATATGTGACTTATCAAACACTCCTGGAATGGTTTGGGTGGGAAGGGACCTTAAAGCTCATCTCATTCCATCCCCTGCCATGGGCAGGGACACCTTGCACTAGACCAGGTTGCTCCAAAACTCCTCCAGCCTGACCTGGAACACTTCCAGGAGTGAGACCAGTCTGGTGTTTAGGTCAGGCCCACATCTCAGGTTTATTGTCCTTGACTCTTCGTGTTTCTTCATGTGGCTTAAAGGCAGTATTTCAGAGTGCTGGTGAGATTTGCTGTAATTCAAGCACACAAGTCCTGCCCTGATTCTGTTACAGAGCTGATATATCCAAAGTTTAGTCTTTGGCTCCCGAATCCAAGAGCTCCTCCTTGCTCTTGGCACAGGTTTGGGGCTTTGGGCCCTGGTTCAGCACTCAGCTGCCACCACAGCTTTTCTCTCTGTTTGTTAGTCCTTCTGATCCCTCAATCTGCCCTTGAATCCAGCCTCAGAGTTTGAATTCCTGCCTTGTTGCTGCAGAATTGCAACAATAGCAGGAAACCCAGATTTTGGAAGTGGGGAAGGTTAGGGTTAGACAGATAAGGTGTCGGTGCGAATCAGTCTGTGCCTCGAGTAGAATTCAGAAGTGCCTGGCTGCGAGCCCTGTGCTTAGTCAGAGGTCAGTCCCTTTTGTAAGACTTGGATTATGATAATAATTGGCATTTATATTGTATTTTTTGCCTTGTAAGATCAATCTCAAGTTCTCTCTCTCTCTCTCTTTCCCAAAGATGTAAAGCAGAGCAAGTTCCTCACCCGAGCGGGATCGGTGGCGAAAGCGCTGGGGTTTGCTCGCTGCCAGTAAAAAATCCTTATCAGCAGAGAATTTCAGAGACTGGGGAGGGGAAGAACAGCTTGTGTAGAAGTGGTGGCTGTGGGTTTGGGGCTCTTTAACTGGCTGAGGAACTCAGAGCCTCCTGAAGGAATGATGTGTTGCTATTCCGCTCTCAGCCTGCCTCCCCTAATTTGTGGAGCGGGGAGTGTTTGATTACGCCGGATTTATTTTCAGGAGTTTCAGGCTGCTCTTATTAATTGTCCCCGTTCTGATGGAAAGCGAGTGGCAGAGCTCTGCATTCCCCAGCCGGTGTTTTGCATTCCTAAACAGACCCTGTGACGCTGAACCTCCACGGATCAGCCCCGAGCCTGATTTCCCTCCTCGCTGCAGCGCCAGGCTTTCATTTCCCTGGGATGAGAGCAGTCATTACAGGCATTACATTTTGTTTGTGAATCAGGGTGAATGGGAGTAGAGTCCTTTTGGAAAATCAGGGCCCAGAAACGCCACT